CTACTAGCCACTTGTTTGCTTTCAACCTTTTGTAATGGAAAGAAGATTGGAAAACCTATAAAATGTGGTAATAGTAGTGCACCGAAAATTGATAATGTGAGGAAAACGCCACATTATCTTAAATTAGTCAAATCTTAAATGTTCAAACATTACTTTTATATTTTCTGCCATTATTACTTGTCTTAGACATAAGTAATTCAAGATGATAGCTTTAACTCTATGCTCAATCAAAATCAAATAGTGTGAAACAAAATCAGGCTGAGGAATTAGTAGCTTTAGTCACAAGGCAACCAAAACAACCTAAACTCGACTATTGTTTTAGCTTCTCCATTTACATTAGTTAATTATATTAAGGCCATAGACATCATGTAGTCTAGTTGGTTAGGGTACTCGGCTCTCACCCGAGTTCAATTTTCGGCAACGAAGGTATTCTCTAGACAAGCCTCCCACATAATCATGCATTAATTTCACAACTGAGATCACAGAGATTCAAAATCATTCTTGCTGTTAAAATTCAAAAAAAAATATTTTAAATAAAATCGGCTGTATAAATACTCACTTCTTTGTTAAACTCAACTTAACTTTTTCGTTTAAATTCAACTTATATCAATCATATAGTAATATTAGAAGTTCTTTAACAAGTTCATCCATACGGATCTTTTTATTTCACCATGCCCTATTAGTTAAGTCTACATTGAAAGACAAAAATGATAAACCGTCGTAAAGGTTTAAAATTCTCTAACTTATACAAGTTCATCAAAAGAAAATGCATCGGATCATCATGAAGTTTGGCTTTTTAAGGGTTAACATGGACAATATTCCTACACGGGAATTTATGGTTAATGTGATCTAATTGTTAGTACACTTTCTATTTGAAGTTGGCGATTTTAATATTAGGCGGCCAAAACTGTATCAAATAGTAGTTTCTTTGGTATTTCTTTTTTGGTAATTTAAATAAATACCAAAGAAATTTACCTTATTACAAAAGTCCACCACTGTAAAACACTTCAACATTTGGAACTCTTTATTGGATCAATCTGACACTTGTTACTTGGACTATGATTTTTCATTCACAACGATTTTTAGAAGAGAAAGTGTTAAACCAACAAGCAACTTCAAAGTCAAAGTTCCTTGTAAAGTAGAAACTACTATTTCAAGTAAACACTATTAGCACAACTTATAAAGATTCAAACTACAACAATATTACTTCTAGAGAAACTCCAAAAAATGATCCCCAACAAATAATAGTAAAAAAGTTAATAAAGGGAATGATGGAACCAAAATCTGCAGACAAAATAAATTACGAATGTGTTAAATAAATGAGATGCCATGACTATAGTTACTGAGTATAAATGAAAATTCCAAGATATGTGTCACTCCAAGAATCTAATGTTATCAAGACTTACAGTTCAGTGGGGATTGGTTCAATCTTTTACACAATAGATGACTTTGATTCTCACTGTTCCTTTCCATTTCTCGATATGTAATATATAAAAGAAAATTAGAAAAATATGTCAATAGCACCTGCTTCCGGTTCATAGCAGCAGTGAGTTTGTATCATTTCACTTTTACAATTAACTGGTTACATTGGAGAGAGTTGGTCTCCCCAAAAATATGAGGCACTTAGAATACATAATACTGAAAAAACACGTATATTTAAGCATATAGTAATTCTTCTTCATTAACTGTGTATGGAGGAGGCAACAAACTCTTCGCCTTGATGAATTTATCCGTACTACCAGACGGTACTTCTGTAATGGGGGAATCAAGGACCCAGTCTGGAATTGCCACCAATGTCTCCTCGAAAAGGGATTTGATTGTCTACAAGGTTTAAAATCAGTTTAAAAAGGAACAGAAAGGTATGGACAACATAAGAAATAATTTTAAACACATAAATTGATATATGCGAATGTTTACAGCTGAGCTGCCAGCAACTAACAAAATTTAACAGAGCTTGCTCCTGGATGGCCGTATATGCACATCAAACATCTTTTGTCATTCTTGCATTCAGAGATGAATGTGCTTGAAATGCATGTGAATGACACCTTTCCTAGAATAGCTATTTCCACGAATTAGAGTGCCAATTCAATATGTAGCAATTCTACCTTGTAGTGCTCAATTTTTAGTGCAACATCTTTATACCATTTTCACATCTTCCCATTGTTATTTTATTATGTCTCTACCATAAAGAGATATTATAACTCATCCAAACTATTTTCTCTAAACTACGTAAAGTCCAATTCATGTCGGAAAAATGAAACGTAGAGAGTCAGAAACTTCAGCGATTGTCATTAGAAGGGAACAAAATATCATACTAGGTGAAAGAAATAATTGTACCACAGCTAGAAGATGGCAATAGAAAGAGTATTTTCTTGTTGTTTATCAGGGTGCCAGGCTCGAACTCTGGACCTAGTGGCATGAAGAGGACTCTCTCAACCACTATGAACAAGAATGGCCGGTAAATAGAAAGAACATTTTCAACTGTCATGATTATTAAAGAGAGCACTTCCAAATATCAAAAATTCAGTCAATAGTGACATACCGTGCAGTGCTTGAAAGCAGCATCAACCTTACGCTTCCATGGACCATTTCCAGGATTTGCATGAAATAGACCGAGCAGAGGCTGCACAGGGAAAAGTTAAATGATTACAGCAGTAAAATATTTTCAGAGACAAAGCCCTCATAAAATGCTAAATTAAGCAAACAAAAGATTTTATTAATGCAGTACATAGAATATAGTAGAATACTATGGTGACTGAGCAACTATGCGGGAAACAAGCCAAACCATGCATCAGTAGACTGACAATGTCCAGGACAAAAGAAAACTCGCTTACTAAAGCTTTTAAAAGAAGTGTGTTTATGCTTGCGAAATTCAATGCAGTACATAGAATATAGTAGAATACTATGATGACAGAAATAATGAGGGAAACAAGCCAAACCATGCATCAGTAGACTGACAATGTCCAGGACAAAAGAAAACTCGCTTGCTAAAGCTTTTAAAGAAATGTGTTTATGCTTGCGAAACTCCAGACACAGCTAAAGTTAACAGCTCGAAAGGATAAAATGAAGAGTGACCCTACCTTGACAACATCCCGCATGCTTGGCTTAAGCCCCCCATACATTCCAACGACTGAATCACCATAGACCTGATACTGTTCAAGAACCTGCTCCCATGAAGACATGAGTGATAAAGAACCATAAGCTATTTAAGTAGGAAGATGTCACCCAAAAAAACTAGAATGCAGATGGCAATGAGAACCTGGCGCCGGGTTATGCTACGCAGAGGTGCACCGTATACAGCGCTGTCAACAAGTCCCAGAATCTGCCATGGACTGTCAAAAGCATGAGTTGTAGTAACATGTCAAGAAAACGAGAAATAAACATTTTCGATGTCAAGGTTTGCAGTTACAGTTTCAAAACGTCTGTGATGGGGTTTGTCATTCTGCTTTACTGAACTAAAAACTAGAATCAGAATCACAACATCAACCCACCGAACCAACAAATCACCAATGCAATTACAAGCATAAGATCTCTACTTTATCACGTGATGTCCACTAGTCAATTACTGTTGACATTTTTCGCATATTCCCCTACAGGGGACAAAAGGTTGCTCTTCTTTTTCCCAAACCAACATTACAAAGATCAAAAGCTTCTACTTACCAAGAATCAATCTTTCCCATGGATCCACACTGACAAATTTATCCAGTAGCTTAAAACAATTAATTTGTACAGTTCACAGCTTATTTACAACTTTAAGGATTCACGTGTTGTAAAAGCCGCCTTTCAAATAACTATCACCTTTCATTGAAACAAAAAGAAAAACCAGTAGGCATAGTCTCTCAAGTTCTCCAGAGACCAATTTTTATTTTGCAATTTAATGCTTAGCTCAAACTTACAATTTTCAACTTGAAAGATCTACAAGGACATTACAGGAGAATATGAAAAACCTACAGAATCCATAAACCATCAATATTTGGGAGGTCATACTCAGGTGTCAAGTAGTGGATAAAAGAGACTAGCTGTAATAGTGTAAAACAAATATGCAGACATCTAGGGACGTACAAAGCCACAATAATATCTCGACAAATTATTGAAACAGTGACGAGTATTGACACTTTTCATACTTGCTGTAAGCTGCACGTCCCAGCATAACCCCATGAGCTCCTTCTGTACGTGCCTCATTAACCTAAAAATGAAATAACCAGAAAAAAGGGTAAAGTACTACAAGATAGAAATCCTATGTGCAAATATGAAGTTTGACAAAGCTTACACACCAATGTGCAAGAAAGACTACAAACCATTTTACTTTAGAAGTTCTCAGCAAGAATTCCCAAGTGCAAGAAAGACTACAAACCATTTTACTTTAGAAGTTCTCAGCAAGAATTCCCAAGTGCAAGAAAGACTAAAAACCATTTACTTTTAAAGTTCTCAGCAAGAATTCCCAAGCCTAAATTGGCACAAGATAGGGCCCCTGAATCGCTCGTGGGCATAATATCTAGAATTTTGCCTTTACACTAAGAAAGATCATACAAATGCTACGGAAAAAGATCATAATTCCTCTGACAGGTTATTTTTCAGAGGAAAAAGTTTATCAAGAGAATATCATAGTTTTCTTTATAGATGCTACGGAACTATAAGACCAGCAAGTTTAGGTATTTTAAATGGATCAGATATCCTGCACTCTGTCAAGACAAATCCAGCCTAATGAAGCTTATTTTGCTAAAAATAAAGGAATTAATCCTGTCGACAGTCTAGGGATAGTGGAGAACTTATTATTTTCAGCACATCTGATTTTACCATTTTTAACAACATTTTCACAAACTAGTACACGTTAACTCCATTTTAGGTTTGAGACACTTACCTCCTCAATAGAATTTATGCCTCCATTTATCGTAAATTGTAGATCCGGGAAATCACGCAAGAGGGCATAGTAGTACTCGTACCTGTCAATGGCCAACTTAGGTAGTCATTAGGAACAATCATTAAGATCTTTGAGTTTCAGTGATCCAGAACAATTATTAAGATCTAAAGATAGGCATGTAGTAGTTCAGTCTTGGCTACAGATACACCAGTAAATGATTAAGTAGGGATATATAAAAATTTCACTTGTTTCATTGTCATAAATCCTTGTTGGATTATTAAGCTATTGCAAACTGCATACTTGAGCGGGGGAATTTTTCGATTATCTGCTGGGCTGATTCCATTCAGTAATGCCTTCCGGGAATGTATAATAAAATGCCGAGTTGGTGACTGAGAAGAAACCTTGTAAATAAAATCACCTGTACACATGAAAGTGAAAAGTTAATTTCTTTCTATTTTATGGAGAAGATAGCAGCACTATTTACCACCCCAACTGGTGGAACTAACCCATGTTAACTAACAGGGTAAGACTCATTTGGAAGGTTAATCAGTTAACAGACAACACTTTTCACATTATTCTCTTTCTCTCTTTCTTTTTTTTCTTTCTAATAGTTCTGTTTCAACAAAAATGACGCAGTCATCGTAGCTAGCCCTAGTGCATACAAACATAAGAAACATCTTAACTAGCAACAGTAGACAAATATGGCAAATATGCACGAGATTCAAGTACTCAGTCAAATTAAACATGCAACTGGCTAGGACTTGGCAAATTATGTAAGAATGCCAACAAAGGGGGCATGTAACACCCAAAATATATATGAACATGCAAGAAGCAAAGATGCCTAATTCTGTGGCATCTACTTATAGAACATGAACTTTGTATCTGTATCATCTAGCTGATAATGATCATAACTCTTACTTAAATCATCTAGTTGAAAATGATCATTTATCAACTAGATACCTAATTCTGTGGCATCTAGTTATAGAACATGAACATTTTATCTGTATCGTCTAGGTGATAATGATCAAAACTCTTATTTAAATCATTTAGTCGGTAATGCATGAAATGCCTAATGGGTTATATATACTAAGAGGGGGAAAATTGGAATTCTGTTCATGCAAAACTATGTAGAGCTATCAGCTAACCTAATTGAGAAAGTTCTGGGTAGGAACTTTTGGATAAGGCAACGGCGCGTATTATATCCTATGTAGCATTTTTTTCAAAAGCGTAAGCCCTTGTAGAGACAAACCAGCACTTCTTCGCTTAAATCATGGTCTCCAGTTCTATTTCTTATATGTCTGATGACACATATAATTTCAGATCGAGCATGGGGAGAGTAATGGTTAAGTAACTTGCATCAAAGAGTGTGCAAGTATAGAGGTGCTCTTCTCCAGTCTCCACAAACCTACAAATACATTATGCCCAAAGGGAACAAAAGGAGCATGTGTAATATAGCCACCTGAAGTGTAACATGGATTCTGCTCCAAGTTAAGTGGTCATGCAATTTGCTTCTAGTTCATATTTACAAGTTATTGTCAGCTTTGTAAGATCTACTCGAAAGTCCAAGCAGCTACAAGGACAGCAAAGACCTGCTTGGAAGTCTATTATGAACAAACTAAAAGAGCACAATTTGATGATTTTCTTGAAGCAAGGTCAGAGCATTAAACAAACATGAACACTACAAGAGAAGGGAACAACAAGTGAAATTCAAAAGATTGAGATTGACGAAATAAATTTTGATTCTCATTTCCTGTAAGTGAGTGAAAGTTGAAGAGCTCACATAGTTCGTTGTACGAGTCGTGGTCATCAACTCCAATTCTGCATTTCACACTCACTGGAACATTTGTATTTGCAGCAATTACAGACATGGCCTCAGCAACAAACTTTCCTTGTAAAAGTTATGCATATGTCAGAGCAACTTTTACAGAAAAATAATGATTCTGATGTATCAAGCAAACAAATATGAACCTTTGGATCAAGCATGAGTCGCACACCAAAACACCCGTGTCCAGCTACTTTAGGGCTAGGACATCCGCAACTGTTAGATAATAGAGAAAGAGTATCAGTTATGGGTCTGAATAAAAGCTAGAAACCTATAGCATAGAGTGGAAAAGCAGAACGAACTTAAAGTTAATTTCATCATAGCCATAAGGAGTTGCCAGTTGTGTCGCTTTGGCCAAGTTCTCCAGATTATTTCCCCCAATTTGAAGCACTATCGGATGTTGCTCAGGGCCATATGCCAAGAACCTATCCTGATATATTAAAAAAATCACATAAATATCAGATCTCGTTGGCTCATGGCTGGTAGAAACACAAAAGCATTAGTCAGTGACAAGCTTAGAGGTCCAAGCAATGACCTATCAGTACAAGAAAGTTCCTTTTGGAGAAGGTTACAATAATATAATCATCTAGTTCTCCTTTCCCACTATTTTACACCAAAAATAAAGATACTTTTCTACGTGACCATCTAACTGGGACAAGAGTCCTACTTTAGAGAAAGGCAAATGACCAACCAACTTGGCTAACTTGACTCTCAAAAGAAAACCCAATTTTTTTTATAGTAATTGAAAAAAATAACAGTCCAATTCATTGATTTAGTAATCAGATATAAGTGTCAGGCACCATCTATAAAAACATTAACTGTACACTTCTCTTTGTCAATGGTCAGTTTACATCATGTAGAGCAGCCAGAGGATCAAGATTGCAGAAAGCGACTTTTGACTATTTCACTGTCACTAGACTTGAAAAAAATGGATAAAATAAAATTATCGAATATTTTGATTTATGCACATTTAGTAAAAAATTTAACCTGAAAATCTTACACTAGTTTGAATCCCAGTAATTTTGAGCCTTAACTTGCTAGCGCATGGTGCTTAGGATTAAAGCAAAGTTGTTATTAGTGTACTTAATATAGCACTGTCCCAATTCATGTAGCCTGCCAAATGCTAACTGATAACAAAAATTCGGGCAGAGGGAGTGCCCCAAACTCGGTTACTCTTCTTTTCACTTTTTCTGCAGCAGGGTTCAAATCCCCTGCATCGCCTAACCCACACATTAGGCATTGCGCTCTAACCACTAGACCAAAGCCACGGAGGCTGCGACAGTCCACGCCTTTGGAAGGAAATTTTAAAAAATGGTAAATGTTCTACTCTTTCTCATTTCTTGTGTCTAGAACAAGAACAAAGGATTTTTGATTGTAAAAATATCATGCCTGATTCTTTGAAATGGAAAATGCATGCCTGATTACACACAATTACCTCATCCCACCTCTGAATAACATCATTAAAATCTCGTTAGATGAAGCTCGCATAATTCTCTTCTTTTTACTTAGTTCTAGTTAAGAGTAGAAACAAAAAAATACTTTATAGTTGACTAGAGAAGCACCAGAGTCTTTCCATGGAGCAGAACTTTACCAAATTGCCAGCCTGGTAGACAATTGTTTCTGCAGCAAGCATTTCTGTATAGAGCCATGCATGTTTTGAGATAAGACGGGCCAAAGTTCTGTAATGGTTATCGGTCAACTCCATCATGGGGGCAACACTGTTTAAGTACAAAGGCTTAAAAATATCAGGGAGCTTTTCTTTTTTGGCTTTTAAACAAAGAAATAAGGGATCTTATTAACAATGTAAAGAGAGTAAATTAGACTTAAATATGCACCTGAACCAAGGAGGAGGATAGCGCTCTGCACCCATCAGAGAAGTAGAGGGGAGTTTGGACTTTTGATGATAAGCACACAATGTCCTTGGTTTGCTTGTACTTCCATAAAGGAAGTTTGATGAAAATCTGCCACGGTTTTTCAGGATAACAGAATGAAAAGGAGTTAAAGAAGCAATCAAACAATGCCCCGTAGATTTCATCTTGCCTCTAAATCAAGCGTAGGCTGCTCTTTTATGTACCTATCCATTGGATAGAAATTGCATCACACAGGGGGACATGCTATATGCCATATAGATGCGCTTTCAAACATTTGCACAAATATATAATTAATGGAATAAATAAAGACCTAAATCCACCCAGCTCAATATAAGCCAAAAATAACTTGGTTCATTAGTGTAACTGCTAAATCAACATTATACATCATTCTGCGCTTCACGGCGGAGGGAAAATATGCTAAAAAACGAAGAAAAAAACTGCATCAAGTTTCAGTTTTTTTGTGTTTTTTTTCCTTAGCATTTTCTAACTAGCACTTAAATAATTTTTCCTATGTGTTTTCATCAGTTTAATATCTTAGTCATATTCCAGATACCCAAAATCTCAGAACAAACAAATTTCTACACTGCAAAACCTTCCTCCCAAGTTTTAGCTCGTTTCGTTCTAACAAGCTTTGACAAAAAAGAAAATAGTGTGAACTGAAGAAACAAACAGGAAAACAAAATAAAAAAGTAAAGCATAAGAACAATAAAAATAAAGGGAAGGTCGGATTTAGGGTTCTACATGGAAATAGAGAGAAGGATACTTCTTGAGGATTGAGGCGAACCTAGTGGCCGTCGGAGAAGACAATACGTATATAAAGGATAGCTCAAAATGTAAAGGGAATGGCCTCTATTTTTCCTTTGTTTCTTTTTCTTCCTTTTATATTTAAGGAAAAAAAAACAATTATATTAAAAGTAAGTCACTTTTAATTTATGGTTAGAGTTAGTAACTTACTACTGGAAACAATTAGTTTTCCTAATGTTACAGGATGAGACTCACTTTTGAGCGAAAAATTGTCATTTTTAAAAATCAAGGGACTATGTGCTCTTTAATCTGAAGAATAAAGCTTAATTTCTCTTCTTTTCTTTTTTTTTCAAGGGTCCTAAAGGCTAAAAGGTGGGGAGACTCTGATCGACCTAAACATAAATAATTCAAAGGCGAGAGATTTGAGATTCATCAATATATTATTGAGAAAGAAAATTCTTTTCACTTTAATAGATTCTATTCGATGTAAATCAAAATTAGTACTACCATTAGATAGCAAATATTATATTATTATAATAAAAAATAACAGTGAAGAAGAAATAACATTTTAGGACATCCAAAGTAGTTCCGAAGGTTTAGTACGTTGATATATTTGAAAGGGGACCTTATATAGAAATCATACTACAAAATTCAATTGGATTCTTCCCCAATAGTTATATTTTCTAAAGGACACCTAGATTAGAGTGGAGTTCATCATATGAAGTAGTTCAACTTTTAGGCATTTGTTCACTCTTTATTTTTTTAATTTTTGTTGCTTGACTAAATAATCAGTTTCATAAATCACGATTATAAATTTAGTAGATAAAATATAATTTTAAAGAGTAATACTAAATTCACCGAACCGCATAAACCGAAACCTAAACCATTTATTACAGTATGGTACCGGTGTAACATGTTTTTTAAGACGGAAAAAAGAAACCGAAATTTGAAATCTTTCAAAACCAACCAATGAACACCCCTAGTTACAACCAGTAGGAGCCCGCAATTGCTGAAATTTCTAATCACTTAGAAAATTTACAAAAACTTTAAAATAATAAACATTAATCTAAGTGACCCCAAAAGGCTCAAAAATTGTATAAAAAGTGAAGCTGTACACTGGGAAACGAAAAGCAGAACCAATGCCTTCCATGTAAAATCTGGTAAGCAAAGGTTAGCAAACTCGCAGCAAGCACAGGATGCAGGGTGCAGTAACATTGAAACTTTGACCTGCAAAGATCAGTTACAACCCTGGGAATCAGCAGCTGCTTATATGCTGTAACCTTCATGCCTCTTTAGCATCTAATAGCAACCAATTTTTACTAGCAGTCAACGTTTTTGCTTCTGAGATACAAAGCGTATTCCTTGCTTTCCAAGTTCCAAGTTCTTCTTCTTCCCATCATCAAGAGCAACAGATACAACTGATGAGCCTTCAAAGACTTCTATCACTGTCCCTCTATGCCTGAAATGAAAACAAATTGAAAGGTCAAACTAATGCACCTCAAAGGAAAGTGTGGCACAGATTTATATGAATCCTTTCCTATATAATTTGATATATCATGCGAGCCAAAAACCGAAATGAAACTTCTAACTGATAAACAACAGGTTTCTTTTCTTTATCCTACTTTATCCTTTTGCCCCGACCCAATTCCCTTGCTTTATTGATTGCCTTTTTCTCACAGCTATAGTGATTACTATCGCCGAATATTCATTTCCATTGAAGTTGCATACAATTATAAGCAAACCATAAACTTACCAGGTATTATCAGACGGATGATGAACTTCCACTCTCTTTCCTTTTGCATCTTTCCCCAACTTCTGCAGTATCCAGTTAGCATCCATGAACTCGTCCATTGTACTATCCTCATACCACTGAGATGAATTATCATCAGCCTTAGTTGATGCTTTTTCTCCAAAGGTTGGTGGTCTCTTTCTTTTAGACCTCTGGCCCTTAACCATGCTTTTCTCCTCCTCCCCAGGAGAAGCCCAGGCATTTTGACTTTCATGGTAAGGATTCTTGAACTTGAGCTTTAGAAAAGGTTTTGGATCCTTTTTCGTTGAATTAGATACTGAAGGTGTACTAATTTTCTCGTCGTTCAGGTCATCACAAGAAGCGGGCCCAGCTTCTGCATGTTTCAAGGAAGCCAATTTGTTGCCCCTTGTGGCAGGAACTTCAGCTCCAGCCCTTGTAATAACACTACCATCATTGCTTCTCTTTCCTAAGATACCAAAAGTCTTGACCGGAGGAATAGGTCCAGATCCATCGGCAAATTTTCCACCAACTTTGGCAGGCAAATGGGTAGCTTCTGAACTAACTTTCTTTATCTTTATTAAGTGACTTTCTTTACCCCTAGGATTTTGACCCTTTATTTGGTCCATATGATCTACCTTATGTCCTGCAGACACAGAACCGAGAGCCAAAAGAAATGTTACTAATAAAACACTAAAAAAATGCTCAAGTAAATTTAACTTTATCTTCATGCCCACCCCACAACCCCCAAAGAGAAAGTAAACAAGTTACAACACGTTTTACCTTTTCCGCCATCAAATTTAGCTGCAGTGTCATTCCTTTCTGAGTTCTCATTCTCTCTCAGCTGACTCAGATCCTCACTACCTAATAAACAAAGGAAGAACATATAAGAACAGGAAAACAGAGCATTTGAAACTAACTACTTGAGCTCAAGAAATATTGCTTCCTTAATCAAGCAATTTAGAAATTGAATTGAAAGATTTTTACAGAACAGAGAAAGAGAGGTAATTTAGAAATTGGATTTGAAAATAAATTAGGGCACAAAAGAAGCACTGCCACCTTCTCATTTCGATGGTGAGCACAGTGGTTTACGAATTAACCATACTTTCTTAAATTTCACAAGAGGTTTAGCATCAGAAAAATAAAATAATATACAGCAGTTAGATTTCAGGTATTCACCACTTTAGGTTAATTTTTTTTCTTTTTATCTTTTTGAGGTCATCAACACCTTTCCAGACTGTTCAGCTGCAAGTATCAACACGGAGAGGAAAGAATCTGAATTATTGTAGCATGTAAGAAACTATCAAGAAAAATATAGTGAAGGAAACCACACCTGAACAAGAATTGGAGAATTAATCAAGCATAGAACAGAAAATATATATGCAAGAAAAGTACATTAGAGATACTTCAGGCTTCTACAAACAAAAAGCAACCCAAGAATCATGGTACTTTATTATATTCCTCAGCCAACTTCTATGTCCTTTTTTTGATAACCGATAAATCCCAGAGGGCCAGTGGCCCAAGGTTCGAAACTCGGTGGATAACGGGAGTCCCTCTACCCTTCTCCACTTAAATACCAGACTTTTGCCTGCGGCAGGGTCCGCACCTGAGACGTGCGTCTAATCCACTCATCACGCAGTTGTGCTCTTACCACATAAAGCACTTGCGGATACTTATACATGAAGCCCTTACAAATCAAAAAAGAAAAACTCCAAGAAAAATAATATTGCACAGAGGAAAACTATAATCATTTTTCCCGCTGACAGGACCTTTAGCCTGGATGAGAGAACAATTAAGATAATCGTAGCTTTCGTGTCACAAGAGACGAAAGCGAGTAGAAAAGCATCTTTACTGTCATCAAATTATATGGAGAAATCATAGTTTATAAACAAGTTTCATCTAATAAGAAAACGGAAAGCAAGAGGAACCCAAAGACATCATTCAGAAAAAAAATACCATTTGAAGTAGTCAAATCTTGCTCTTTCTGACAACTTGAAGCATCGGACTTTGGGGAACCTGCTACATTTTTATTCCGTGAACCCAAATGTATAACAAGCTTTGGTCCCTTAGAGGTCTTTGGCATGCTTGTCTGAATCCCAATATCATCCCCATCCAACCGCTGAGGCTTGCTGCCTTTAATTTGGACTGTCCTCTTACCCTTGTTTCCTGTAACCTCATCAATAAATTTGTGCTTTATGACCCCTGCCTGATTAATTGAGCATATACCTTCTGTCAAGCTACCAACAGGAGAAGCAAAGCTATCCAGTTCCCCATAAGCCTGCAATTCTTCATTCTTGACATAACCAGCACCATCAGGATGTGGTTCGTTTTGTCCGGTTAAAGACAATTGCTGCCCTTTCTTTTTACCAGATTTCTTGTAAGAAGAATTCTTTCCATACTCCTTGCTCTTTTTGGGAGATTTGTCAACTAAACCTTTAAGAGAAAACTTCAGAGATCGACTATGTTCATTTTTTACTACAGGACCACTATCTTCATCATCTGAAAAGGGTGAAATAGAAAATATTTCTTCTTCAACTGGCAACCCAGCTCCTGCCCTCAAACTTGCAATTAATTCCTTATCAGCTTCATCTCTCCTCCTCCAAAGCTCCTGAACAGCATCCTCAAGATTTCTCACCTGAGAAGGTCAATAGAAAACTATCATGATAAAGTTCTAGTTTAAAATTTTCTAGTTGAATTAATCCTTGCCATAAACATACCTGATAACTATTTCCACGGCATGTTGGACAAGCATACTGCAGATTTCCATCCACTTGAAACTGCATATATTTTTCATCACTGCAAAGCAAATACTCACTTCAAATTAAAAGTTTCAATGGAGTCCCTCTCTCGAAGCTTTAGTGAAACTACTAGCAAGGTTGCATAAGTTAACAGCTTTATATCGCATGACCGACAGAAGAAAAGAAGTCCCAACTACAAAATCTCAAACCACAAAGATGTCAGGGTATTTTGTATAGCGAAGGGCAGAAAAGGAGCTTTCCGGTAATTAGAAGTAGTGCCCTGTCAACTGACTCAACTCTTAACAAGGCAGAATGCAGCATAAACAACCCAAAATGTCATTCAACGATTTGATGAAACAATAAAAGCCAATGTGGAACAGTGAGACTACTTTGAAAACGCTTTCCACATAGTAACAGAGAAAATCTGCTAAAGAATGCCAAAAAGGTACAGGATGCTGTCAGTAATAGCTTTCTGATATTTAATTTCAGAACAGAAATAT